CACTGCTAAATTAGGGACGGCTAGCGCAGATAGTCCTCGTGTAGCTTTGCGCGAAATTCAAAAACAAACATAATAAGGAAAATTTTCATCATATGTAATAGTTTTTCATGTATGTAAATGTGGTCTAAATATAAAGTATACAATGATTGGATAAAAAAAAAACAATCAAGTAACCCCATTAGATAAATAAGAATTCAAAACTAAGTCCTTCAGAAATGAATAAAAATTATTTTGCCAACGACAACGCATGCGCAATACTAACCACCATTTTTTTTTAGGACAAACATTTAATAAAACAAATCTTAATTAATTATACTTAATTATACAAACACGAATTTGCATGTGATTAAAAATCCATATTTAATGTTGAATATGTAATATTGAGTAATCACGTACTTATAACAGGAACTCGTCTTCTAAAAGCATTTTTTGATCAATCTAATGACCTAACAAAACATATTACAGCTTATTAATTACATTATAATTTAGTCCAGAATATAATGTGGCTTAAAAAAGTTAAAAATCAATTCTTACTAGTCTTACAACACTTAATGCAAATCCATCTCGTTTCGGCAACGTCAAGCCACAACAATCGGATAGGGTAAATGATGAAGTTTCTGATACTTATGGGGGTAGGGGGTCTTAAATTTATAAGTCAAAAACTTACCTCAAAACCATTACGACGATGTCGGTCATAATGGATTGTTTGTTTGTTTAGCGGAGCTTACACTAAACTACACCAGTGTTATCTGCGCTAATTTTGAAACAACAGACTAGTCAACACTGCCCACTGACAGTGGATAAAGGAAGGCGTCAACACTGCCCACTGACAGTGGATAAAGGAAGGCGTCAACACTGCCCACTGACAGTGGATAAAGGAAAGCGTCAACACTGCCCACTGACAGTGGATAAAGGAAGGCGTCAACACTGCCCACTGACAGTGGATAAAGGAAAGCGTCAACACTGCCCACTCACAGTGGATAAAGAAAGGCGTCAACACTGCCCACTGACAGTGGATAAAGGAAGGCGTCAACACTGCCCACTGACAGTGGATAAAGGAACGCGAACCGCAGAACAACATCTCCACTGGGTTTCGATGCCCGTAGTGGGCACAGTACATCTAACCCCTTCGTGCTTAACAACAAACAAACAAAGAAAAACGAACTAATATTTCGTAATTTCTAGTTCATTAACTTGGATGCAACAGAGAAATCGTTAGCTAGCTCAGTAAGGAACGGAAAATCTCTTAAACGAAATACATTAGAAACGAATTCAATAAATTAGGAAGAAAGCGTCAAATTAAATAATAGTTTCTATTTATTTATAAACAGATAAATTTGATTAAAAATACGTGTTTCGCTAGGTTTACCTGGCATCATCATCAGTTGGCAAGCTTCGATATAATCCGAGAACAGTTCAAACTGTCACGTGTTACATTATCAGTAATGATATTACGTCATTAAACAATAATCTAATAGAAGTCATCGAGCTTCTTTAATTTGTCCATGATTTACATTGTTTTCTTTTTCAATGATTTCAACATCTGAAAATTAAAAGGAGTAATTACAGGTCATTGGTTAGGCCACATTTGGAATACTGTGTTGAGTTTTGGGCTCCTTACCTTAGGAAAGACATTAAATTGATGGAAAGGGTTCTGAGAAGGATTACTAGAATGGTGCCTGGAATGGAGGGGTTGTCATACGAGGAAAGGCTGAATTCTCTCAAATTGTTTTCTCTTGAAAAAAGAAGAGTTAGGGGATCTGATTGAGGTGTTTAAGATTGTAAAGGGAATTTACAGTGTTTATGTATCATCTTTTTCATACTTAATGGTGAGAATAGTAGGAC